AATAAAAACTGTAACATAACAATAATTATTTATCTCAAATTCAAACACAAAAAATAATATCATTCAAATACAAAAAATAGTAATATTCAAAAGCAAAAAAAAATAGTAACATTGAATATTAATATTTAGAAAAATAATAGTAGTAACATACTCAAAATAATAGTAACATAAACACTAACATACTCAACAATAGTAATAACATGAACAATAACATAATAAAAAAAAATAGTAACATGAATTTGAATTTTACTATTCAAATTCATAGTAACATGCTGATGTAAACAATATTGTACAAAGTTTACCTCAAAAAGATAAAGAAAAAAAAAAAGAGGCGATGAAAATGCAAAACAACACTGAATTTGAACTTGACAAACAAGAGACGATTGCATAATTCGCAAGGATTTGCCTTTTTTTGATTAAACAAATTGGATTGAGATCGAGCCAAAGACTTNATAATTCGCAAGGGTTTGCCTTTTTCTGATTAAACAAATTGGATTGAGATCGAGCCAAAGACTTCTTTTATAGACAATGATCGAAAGTTTTTTCGCCTCAGATGACGAACTTGCACACAAAGAAGAAGATGAAGACACAGAAACAGTTGAATTTACTTTGGATTTTTGAATATTGCTTTTAGACAAATCTAAGTTCACTGATTTATCAGTTGAAACGTCCAAAATCAAATCAGTCTTCAATGGCAAAGTGATCAGTTGATAAACCCTTTTATAGAGAAAGAGAGAGCTTTAAATTTGAATTTTAAATTTATGATAGAGATTTTAATTGATATTAAATTAATGGATAACAATTTCCCAAATAAAAAATTAATTTAAGGAAATATATTTTTGAGATAAAAAAAAAAGTGGACTTAAGTCATTATATATAATTTTAAACATGAATTTAGTTTCTTATAAGTTTATTTGCATGACTTATCTCCAAACAAGTGCATCTAGAGAGATTCATTTTCAATTTTTACTTCTTTTTTTTTGGCTTGCAAATTTCCCACCCATTCCATTGATTGAGATGCCAATATGCAAGTGTGATTAGCAATTTGTTTGTTTGTTTGTTTTTGGGANCAATTTTTACTTCTTTTTTTTTGGCTTGCAAATTTCCCACCCATTCCATTGATTGAGATGCCAATATGCAAGTGTGATTAGCAATTTGTTTGTTTGTTTTTGGTATTATGGAAATACAAAGCCCACTTAAGAGGTTTTCGAAGTTAAATTATTATAGCTATTATTGTGTTAACCTAGGAAAAATAATATATGTTTTGCTAATTTGTTTGCATATTATTTTGATTAATTTGGACAATTATTTCTCTCTCTCTTTTTACTATAGAGTTGATCGAGTTGGGAATTCTTTCATAAGTTATCATAAGTAAAAAGTCATCTTTAAAATATTTCAAAATACATCATGTTCGTATTTATGATATTATGAGATAACGGTACGTGTTAAGGTAAAGGGTTAAGAAATAGGTCAAAAAATTCCAAATAAATACATTTACTTGGGCGAGGATAGAATACCAAATATGTTGAAGATAATTTACGAGAAGATAAGAAAACTTTATAATTGACAAATTAGAAGAAGCAATTTTAAGTGGTTACGATTTACAAAGAGTTGGCGGCCATCGTTAAGGTAACCGTCTCTCTTGTGTGCGTGCAACATGATCGAAGTAAATTGCCCAGGCGGCTTGAACATAGTGTTGCAACTTGGTAGGTTGGACCGACTAAAATCTTCAACTTTAACCCAACCATAATTCGGCATATTCGATTGAATATTGCACAAGTTGAATTTGGCTTATCTAATTCAGGTTTATTTTGGGTTTGTTCAAACCCAAAATTAGCATGTTGTTATAAATCTGGTNATTGGGTCCTGGAAAGAATTGGCAAGGCAGTTCCTAACCCGATTCATCACGGGGAGCAAGCGCCCAAAGGACATTGGATCGCTGCTGACCCTCAGGAGGAGGGAATTCGAGACTATNTTTGTTCAAACCCAAAATTAGCATGTTGTTATAAATCTGGTACATACTACATAGTATTCACTTGAAGTAAAAATCAGTTACTTCAATTAAATATTTAACATAAATACTATAGTATTTAAAACATAAAAAAATATATATATATTGGTCAAAAATCAAATTGCACTTTTCTTAACATAAATTACTTAATAGTCATAATAGCTAAATTAACATAATAGTCATAATAGTCAAATTAACATAAAAAAGTATGTTGTACTCGGTGTTTAATCATAATATTCGAATTTAGTCTGATTTAATATTCGGGTTGAACTCGAATATATAATTGGATTAAACCCGATTTATATATTTGGGTTGAACCCGATAATTCAAGACATCAACTCGTGTATTATCTAAATTTAATTAATGTTGATATTTTTCAACTTAGACTTAATCCAAATATTGAAAAAAGAGTTTTGAATGCCGGTTCCCAAGCCTAATAGGATTCAAAAAAAAAATCCACTTGCTAATTTTCTTTTAGATTAAGTCCCTGTTAAAAAGTCAAAATAAATGACATAATTAACGCTCTTTTATAATTGCAAAAAATAACGACAATGTTATTACCTAATTTAAACGCCTATTCTAAAAAATTACGTCATCCTAATATACATTTTTCTCAATAACACACAAATCGTAAGACATGTATACTAAAAAAGACTACTGGTAAATGAAATAAAATATAAAACACAGATCGTCAAACAATTATACTAAAAAATATTAATAGGTACGCAATAAAAAATAAAACATTACAGGTAAACGAAAACCTAGATCCTCATACAGATACATTAAAATGCAGATCATTAATGTATATTCTTTTTCATAAAAACATATCATTAGACAGGTACATTAAAAACATAGATTGTCAAACAAGTATGCTAAAAACACTGATTGTGTAATGTATTTTTTTTCTCCATAAACATAGATCGTCAGACAGATACACTAAAATGCAAATCTTCAAATGTCATCATAATGTATAAATGACTTGGTTTACTAATTTAAATTTCAAAACTGATAGATAACACCACAAAAACCTTAATAACAAACGCAAAAAAAGAAAATAAACTAAATATATTTTAGGCTTAAATCATTTGATGAGGGTAAAATGGATAATGAAAATTATTAACTAATTAATTTCCTTAACATTCCCGCCAAGAAACCGCATTCAAATTTTTTAAAAACATGAGAACTTTTTTTTATATTAAAAATTTGATAGGATTAAAATTGGTTTACACGCAAAAGGATGGATACTGTCCTAATTAACTATATTAAGATCTTTAACTCAAGTCCTATTTTTTGGATTAGGGTCAAGTTGAATTTAGGTTGACTCACCCAAATTACACCCCTAGTTGAAGACTAATCCTATGAATAGAAAGACCCTCTTACGTAAAAAGGATCCCAACATGATCGTCTTCACATAGAGCAACTATGCAACTCTGTTTTTATCATTACAATTGTTTTCTTTTGGTTATGTAGATATTATTGATTTTCTTAGTTTTAATCCAATCATTACTACATAATTACGATTAAGATCTCATCAATTCGTATAAGTAAGGACCGTTGTGTTTGAAAATCGGGAATTCGTGAGAGCTTTGAAACGCCCACATTCACAGATTTTAAGCCAAGTAGTATCATAATACTTTCAAATTTATTTCATTCCAATCGAAAGATATGAGTCTTATTAAATATTGATATAATACGAACCTAGAGATCTTATTATTAGGCAAGAGACCAATCTCTGAACTGAATTGGGTCAACTGATATTGGATCAATTATTGGACTATCAAATTCATGCAAATCAATGGCTTATTATGGGCTTTCATCACTGGATGATTTAAGGGTGATTTAGAAGTCGATACAATTTTTTGAATTTATTTGAGTAAAAGTACAATACAAAATCTTATTTGGGCTAAAGTGTATATTTTAAAAAAAATGACAATATTATCATTTAGGAAATAGCTGATGGGTTGAAACCTTTTATATTTTTTTCATATATTTTGACCACAATCAAGCAATGAAAGGTAAAATAGGGATATATTTTTTCTAACAGTTATTTTTTTTTTCTCTCTCTCCCCCATGTTTTCTTTTATTCTATTTATATTAATATTACAACAACATAATTACACTAATCAGTTATATCAATCAGTTATAATTATCCTATAATATACAAAATAGTTATTAATGCATTATAATAAACCAAATAATTACACAAAATTATGACACGAACCCAGTTTGTCATTTAGTTGTTTATATAAACTAAATAATTGCACCATTTAGTATCGCAACATCGTTACACCATCATGTCTTAACAATTGCACGAGACTTTAATTATTAAACCCATTAAAAAATAATTATACCCATTAAAAAAATAGTTACAAAAATTAAAAAACAGTTACATCTATTAAAAAAATAGTTACACAAATTAAAAAATAGTTACATCTATTAAAAAAATAGTTACACATTAAAAAACAGTTGCACCCATTAAAAAAATATTTACATCTATTAAAAAACAATTACACCCCAACAACAAACAATACATAATATCTAATAAAATATCGTGGTCAATTCTTTTTTTCTTTTTTAAAAAAATTCAGTGTTTATTCACATATAATTTGTGGCATTCTAATCAAATCCCATTGTCATAGAATTATTTTGCCCAGGAAGAATGGTTTTGATCATTAATGCCCCCTATTTTACCTCTTATTACTATTGTTAATTTTTACATACTTATTTCCTTAAATAACTGTCAATGATGACTATATAATTTAAGAGAGGGTATTTTTGTAAAAAAGATTTTAATTCATTTGAATTTTGTAACTAAACACAAATTTTTTTATAAAAATTGTATTTAATAGAGTAAACAATTTATTCATATACTTTTGTTTAAATAAGTCTAATAATCACGCTAAAAAAACCCATGATTTAATGGCCCAGAAAGCCCAATTGTCAGCAATTAAAGTCCAGCCCCATATGGGCCTACGCAGAACAGGTTTAACTCAGTTCAGTGCCAAGCAGCCAACCCCTTCTAGGGTTTCTCTAGGGTTTTATCATTGTTCAGCGAAACCCTGAGGAGTTCCGAAGCAAGGCAACAGTTGGGTGTTTGTAAAGCAATCGATGGAGGGATTGAAGAAATCAGATGCGAATTTGGTTGTATACATACACCCATCTAAGGCCAAAAAGGTCTCCGAAGCCATCCTTCGTGAACTCAGTTCTCTGCTTTTCAAGTAATTCTTTGCTTTTAACTCTGTCTTCTTTTGATCTCTCAAGAATTAGTGCCATTTAATTCTGATCCTGACTAGTACACACAAACGTTCATATAATTTCATATTTGACTTCACTCAGTGATTTCTAACGGCACGGTAATGAGTTCTAACGGCTTTCTGAAGTTTCACTAGTTCACGTAAAATTGGGGGAGATGTGATTAGCGAAGACAATAAAATATTTTGTTTCGTAACAGTTATTGTTGTGGTGAGTATGGCCCTAGATCAAAAAACGGCGAGTATGATCCAGTAAACAACTGACTAATTATTTTTTATCACAAAAATTGACTATGATAATTTTACATGTCACCATTGGAAGCTTCGGATGAAGCACCTACCTGGGTATATATGTATCTTGCGTATGAGTTACTCGTGTCACAAACGTAAGGATGCTGAAGAAGTAAAACTTGTCCCAAAAATGGGGAGAGCACTCAAATTTAATTTGACGCTGCTAATTCTCATGTTCACGAAATTGCAATAATGGCAATACATTCACTTTCATTCTCAAACTTTAGTGTAGTTGAGATGATCAAACATTCCTGCCCCTTTAGAGATGTTTTTGAGGTATTTTGCAGAGCGGCACATGTAATTGGGAAATTCAGATGTAGACCTCTACACATGGCTGATTGACATATTTACGCTACAGACATAATAAGGTATTAGCCATGTATGTATATATTCAGCATCTCCTATTTATTTTTAGTTTCTTGTTGTGGTTATTTTTACAGGTTCCATGAAACTTTTGATGGTGTTTTGTTGGCATATGACGTGAAAATTCTTAGTCAAGTGGCAAAGATTCTTCCAGGGATTCATCCTTATTTTGGTGTGAGACTAAAAGCTGAACTCTTAACTTTCTATCCCAAGCCCAACATGCTTTTAGGTAGTTGTGCTGTGATCCTACTCATAATATCTCTATAAGACAGAAAAAAGGGAAATTTTGTTTGCATATCATATGATTGCCCCCAGTTCCACAACCCAAAGAAAAAAAAACCCGACCTTTTTTTGGACAGAATAAACAAATCCCCCGGGTACGTATATGTTAGGTTATTATCATGTCAGAATGGCAATTAACTTGATATGCACCGGAAGCTGTCTTAATTTTCTCTGTTTTCTTATTCTTTTACCCCTCATTCTCGTCTTACTCCATTGCTTTGAACGAATTCTTTGGGTGGTGGGTGGGCCTCAGCTACTTATTCTTCTTGGAATTGATCTAATTCTTCATTACATTGCATCGTTGTTGTGGTGACCTTGTTTATTATTTTGTGATATCTATAATTTTCAGAAGGAACGGTAGTTAAACTGGGTCAACAATCCATGCATGCCATTGTTCTTGGGTTTTCATCTGCTATTATTATACAGGAAGATATTCGTGATGAATTTAAATATAAAGTTGTAAGTTATTCTGAACTATTATGTTATCCGAAATTAATATGTTTGCCGATCTTTGGGTTTGGACTCGATGCTAATTAATTCATTACTTTGCATGCTTATGTTCTTGCAGAAACATGGCAAAGAAGTTTTTGTTAGCAGAGGTAACAAGCGGCATCAAATAGAAGTTGGAACCATTATACGTTTTATAGTCAAAAGGTAGCCCATTCTTTTTACTTCTGTACTTTTGACTGTGGCAATAATGTTTTACTCTGGTCATTCAATTTTAGGATGTTCTCTCTCTCTCCCTCTCTCTCATACAATAGCAGAATAAATATGCTGTTTGAATAAGATTTTAAGGCTTCATACTGTAAGACTCCTTTTAAGCAAGGAATTGAAGGATGTTTTGTCACTTTATATATACATTTTAAGGCTTCATACTGTAAGAATCCTTTTAAGCAAGGAATTGAAGAATGTTTTGTCACTTTATATATACATATATCAATTATACCTTCAAGAATTTCATTTTTTTTTTTTTTAATTTGGAAGATTATGACCTTTGATTAGAAGATTGCAAACCTACCCAAATGACCTTTTCTCATCAGTGAGTTCTTGGTAGTATTGCAGTTTAAATGCCAATTTTAAGAGGAATAATTTGTTTATACATTAAACATCCATATTAGGATAGGCACGTTGAATTTGTGTCAAAATAGTAATTATAGACANAAACCTACCCAAATGACCTTTTCTCATCAGTGAGTTCTTGGTAGTATTGCAGTTTACATGCCAATTTTAAGAGGAATAATTTGTTTATAGATTAAACATCCATATTAGGATAGGCACGTTGAATTTGTGTCAAAATAGTAATTATAGACAAAGCCAGTTCACCTACGTGAAAATGAGTAGTGGTTGACAAAATCAGTTCAACAACTTAAAAATGTTGCTAATGATTTGGATGTGTGACTGCAGCCGATTTTTGATGACTTTGCATGTTTTTGGTTGCATGTCATTGACCTGGGGGTGATTGCTACTCTTATGTTCAATCACTTTAAATCAAATGACTGGGGTTTTGCTACCAAAAATGACCTTCAGCTTTATGATACGTAAAAATCTTGTGAACTGCTCTTGCGAATTGTTGTATATTTAGCTAAAGATTGGAAGCAAGTCCAATCATGCAACATTAGTTATTAGCATCCCTTACGGATTATGGGCATTGAAAGCATATTACTGAATATCTCGGTAGCACGGATATGGATATAGGATACAAATACGATACGATATAGATATAAAGGTAAGGCAAAACCTAAAAAAATATGGTACATATATGTCTATAATAAAATAGGGTCCAAATACATCTATAATAAAATATATTTTATGTTTTACTATTATTTAACAATTTAAAAATTATAATTATTAATAATTATTTTACATAATAAGTAAAATTAACAATTTTTACTTTGAAAAAGATGTATATCGTCTCATTTTGATATATTAATAAAGTGAATGTGAGCAATTAAATGAATTAGAACTGACATTTAATTAGTTGGTTTTTTTACAAGTATTTGTTTATAAAATTATAGTGTAAATAACTCATTTTTTATACTCTTTTGACATGTAATCATGGATAATACTATAAAAAACTCGTGTCTTCAAAATCAAATAGAATTTTGTTGATGTGTTTTATATTGTATGAAAACTTGAAAAGAGAGGGTATAAATTAAAATAAAAAATTGGACATCTAAGTATCTACATATTTTATTAATTATCGGATATGTATGATGCATATCCGATACTTATCCTTAAGAATCCGACGAATATTTTATCCGATACGGGTATAACGATCTTGACGAAATATTCATGTTTCATAGCTGAAGATTATAGGACATATCCAATTGTTTCAAACAAGTAGCAATGCTTGATACAAATCCCACAGTTTGCAAGGTTATGACACAGTACCTATCAGGCCCGGGGTACATAACAGGCATCCCACAATAAGAGAAAACTCAGGGTACAGTACCGTTGTCTCTTACATTCAATAGATAGAGAAGAGGTCATACAGTCTCATATCNGACACAGTACCTATCAGGCCCGGGGTACATAACAGGCATCCCACAATAAGAGAAAAGTCAGGGTACAGTACCGTTGTCTCTTACATTCAATAGATAGAGAAGAGGTCATACAGTCTCATAACAGAGTCAAAATGTATGATATGTTGCTCATAAAAATGACAAATTAGATGGCACAAAGGACAAATGTTAAAATAATTTGAGGGTAGATGTAATGAGGTGTTACTTCTATCCCCAATAAAAGGGGGAAAAACCTTATTATCCAAATCAGGGTCGTACTTGTTGAAATGAGATTCTTGTTAGTGATCAACAATTTACAATCTTTTTTTAACTATAAAGTATGAGAATGCATGTTGATACTCATGATCCCCTCCTTTTCCCCCTCCACAAAGTATGTGCATGTTAAACAACTAACTCGTAAAAAGGTTCATGTCAGTCAGAACAAATAGATGTGATTTGAGTGGAATAATATTCATGTCATACTCAGTCATACATGAAAATATGATGCAAAAATTATAGCTTGGATTATAGCTTGGAGTTCTTTTGATTTTTGCCTTTTTATTTCAATGACTGGATATTTCAATTCATGATGGCAAAGTAGTAGTTGATGATGATGGTAATCCTCTTCTCTTTCATCCCATTGTAGAATTCAATAAAATTTTATTTTGACCGTAAGGATCAAGGAGTTTGACATTAATTTCTCCTATTAGTTTTGATGAAGAAGTACTCCATATTTGTGGATCGTTGGTTCCAGATCATACCGGAAGTGTCGGCTGGTTGGACAAGAATTTGGAAGAGTGGTCACACGCCGACAGGTTATTACCTAAATTGTTAGTCCTGGCAGTGGAAACAATTTTGTTTCTGATTCAATAGAGAAAGTGCACTGTGCACTAGTGGTCATGTCATCTTACTGTTTATGTTTACGAAACAATTCTGTAGCCTCACCAAAAAGCGGACAGGAAGTGAAGGTAGTAGGGAAATGCTGGAGCATAATAAAGCAATGGTTGATGGGGAAACATTATATTTGAACACTGACCATCACATTAAGAAGTCAAAGAGGCGGAGGAGTGGTGATTCTTGAAGGCTGCTGCAAATTGCATACCTTGACACTGTTCTTTCCAGGTAACCAAAATTTTCTGCCCTGTTATCACATGCCTTGAATTATGTTGATAAGTTCTTCAATGCTCTAAAATCTTTTGCTTTACGGGAACCCTTCCATCTCACCACTCATTAACTGTTGAGAAGTTCTTCTATTTGTTCATGTAAGATTCAACTTTAATACGTGAAAGAAACTTCATGCATGATTTCTTTAGATGCCTGATATCAAACAGCTAATATTGACAATCTGTTTCTTTGAAGTTCACTGAAAAAATTTTCANTCTATTTGTTCATGTAAGATTCAACTTTAATACGTGAAAGAAACTTCATGCATGATATCAAACAGCTAATATTGACAATCTGTTTCTTTGAAGTTCACTGAAAAAATTTTCAAAAAAAAAAAAAGTTCTCTGAAACGATGGTTCGGAAATGTTAAAACGGTGGAAAGGCCTTTTCTATATGGAAATGCACTTTTTATCCGCTAGTTTTGTGCTTCTGTTAGTAGCATTTATGCTTCGGCTATGGAAGCTTAATCTTCCATACTTGGAACTGTGCTTCAATTTTCCCATTTTTATAAGCAATATGTTGCTTTTTATTTTTTGGAAAATCTGCTTATGTCTAAGGCTTTGATAGTAATGTAGCTGTGGTTAGTGTTGGGGAAAGCTCCACAAGCAAGGGTTTCCCTGTGAAGTATTTGTGCTGTAATATAGCTTGGAGAAATATATAGGTTAATATGTTGAGCGGATAAGTTGTCTTTAGAAAACACACAGTGAATTGCCTGTGCGGCTCGTGATAACTATAATGAAAGTGAGGAGGAAGGAAGATGGTTTGCTTGGTACACAGGTACTAGGAGCTGCATGTAGTTGAGCATCTAGTCAGAAATGTTAGAGGTAGTCTTTTCAGAGCATGTTAGCTTTTGTGCTTTTGCACATTAAAAAATTTGTTCTCTTTGTTTAGTAGAAACAAAATTCTTTCAATGGTACACTTGATGAGCTTGAAAAGTTGAGCTATGTCTAGTGGACTAATGTTTGTTGGTGAAGGAGAATGTCTTCTTGATCTACTTTTAGTTTGTGGCTTGGTGTCTTAAACACACTGGCATCTTCTGTTTTCTTGGATTTGGTTAGGTTTTGCCTGAATGTGGCACAATCTTTGGGTGGTGTTCAAGGCTAGAAGCTGGCAGAGCCTTGTTTGCACGATGGCTTCTCTTTATGTTGTATTATGTGTGCATACGGCGTGAGAATTTGGAGACTTGTTGTTTGGCAATTATTTTTCTTTCTTTGAAACATTTTTCCAATTTAGACATTGTTTTTTTTTGTTGGATGAGATATTAATGTTATGATCTGGTGTTTGGCATCGTACTTGTGTTTGCTACCCTTTTTTTGAGTCCCCTTTTTTAGGAGAAAAATATATTGAACTTATTGCTTGAGTTTGTTATGGTCATCTTGTAGGGTTGATAAATGTTGATGCACATGAGGTGAATTTCAAAACCAAGGAGCTAATTGGCTTAACGAACGTTCCTCTGGGATGGGTGAAAAAGGTTTTAAAGAAATTGAACTCAAGGAGAAGTCGTGCATCATCCACTATATTGTTATATGGAACTCAAGGAGAAGTCGGGCAGAAATACATTGTTATGTGGACTTGTAATTATCCATTTATAAAATATATCTGGTCAGCCTTTTATCTATTCTCAGCATTTTTTTGGGGCAGCCGATTTTGAGTTGGGTTCCAAAAGGCCATCCCTAATTCTTTTTGGCATGAAATTGTTGAAGCTATGTTTTCGTTTAAATCTGGCTTTTTGTTGGATTCAATTGGTCTCTATTTTCATTCATGCAAAGACACGGTGTTCATGCTATTAGGTTGTATAATATATGATGCACCCTGATTGTGGATATGAAATTGTTTGTTTCAGATTCTGTATTTCTCAGCTGTTTGTTATCTGAATGCAAAATGAGGTTGGAACTATTGGAATTTGGCAAGTGGACTGTTATTTGCTGGGATTTTGGATTTGAAGTTGGAGTTATTCGGATAATGATCATGGCATCCAAGAAGAGTCATTTTCTGATTTAGTATGATGGATGAGCTCTGGAAGCACCCTTTCTCTGGTCAGTATCCACACCCCCCTCCCTCCCTCTCTCCTGCGTCTTATGCTGCAAATTTTTTAGAACAATGGCCTCCTTGCAACAATAGTGTAGCAACAATGCCTTCTGGTACTTGTAGTTTGTTGAAAATGCACCGATTTTATATCTATCTGAATTGCTGTACATGTTATATTTTTAAAGTACCTTGGTGAAAAATTGTTCAAGTTTGGACCAACTAATTAGGCAGTGAGAATGATTGGATATGGTAGTCCCAACACACACCGGTCCCTTAAAAACTTGATAACATTTAGCTCAGGCAGGAGCCCTCGACTCTTTAGGTGTAAGTTGTAAGTTGTAACTTGACAGGATTCCTCATAATTGGTGGATCAATTGATTCAATTCTACTGCTACAACAGTTAGATTATTAACTCTAATGGTAGTTTAAGTGAGATATAGAGATGAGTTATAAATTTAAACGTTTGGAGTTCAAATTATTGCAACCCCTTGGGACTAGACCATAAATACCTTAGTCACGGCATGAATGACTTATTTTTGATCGGACTGGGAGGGGATTATTCGAAGTGTGTATAAACTGATTTAAACATTCATGATCGTTTAAAAAAAACAGCTAGATTATTGGATCAATCTTTGTTGGTCACATTTGTAGACCAAATTCATTTATATAGTTGGATTGGCATCCTATTAATGCAACGATCCATAACCGATAGTTCAATAATTTTGCTCCAACATTAGTACTTTGGAAATGCTAGACTTCTTCGGCCTAAGTCGATCTAAGTTTGGTAGCATAATTAAGTGTAGAAATTGAAGGTGTCGGTTTACTCAAATCATTTTTGAGGGATTTGGGGTTGCAAGTACATTCCATTTGTGCCAGGTACTTATGATTGACACTACATCTAGATATATGGTCAAGCCTATTTATGTAAGTAAAAAAAATAAAAAATCACAGCAGATCGACATCCAAAGTGGATTCATGATCGTGGTCGGGTATGCAGTTTCTTTCAAGAACAACCCATATTCCGCTGTGGACCCCTATTAAAAATCCAAATAAAAATGAAAGTTGTAAAGAAAAACACTCATTTGAAACATGAATAGAATTGAAATACAAATACGCATGCATGATATAATGTATCGGTAGTATTATTTTATTGTGAGTTAAATATATCGGTAACAAGAGTCATTTCTCTGTGTATAAGGACTGAATTAAACACATGACCCTATACATATTTCAAATCTTTCAGTTACTTCGTATTAAGTAGAGTCTTGTGTATTAGACGTATAAATGANAACACTCATTTGAAACATGAATAGAATTGAAATACAAATACGCATGCATGATATAACGTATCGATAGTATTATTTTGTTGTGATTTAAATATATCGGTAACAAGAGTCATTTCTCTGTGTATAAGGACTGAATAAACACATGACCCTATACATATTTCAAATCTTTCAGTTACTTCGTATTAAGTAGAGTCTTGTGTATTAGACGTATAAATGAGGTATGAGCTTGAGAGAGAGTGGCAGAAGTTGGGGGAGATTCAGGTTGGTCTATGAAGCTACTGAAACATCTTCCTCCCAATGTGCGGTTGGTTTGTTATAATAAGAAGAATAAGAGAAGTTGTGACAAAAACTTCCGGGAAAGCCGTCTTGTAACATGACTTGNTCTTCCTCCCAATGTGCGGTTGGTTTGTTATAATAAGAAGAATAAGAGAAGTTGTGACAAAAGCTTCCGGGAAAGCCGTCCTTGTAACATGACTCGTTTCTCTCTCTTAATCAAAAAAATCAAAGCCCATGTCTTCCTTCTTGATAGAGTAGTATGTAAATTGGAAAGAACATTAGTTTAGTTAGCCTCGAATCTTTGTTTGGTTAACATTTTCTTGAGCTGACCCACTTCTGACACACTTTCCCTCGGCCGCTCCTCCCTCTTTTCCTTCTCTGGTATTTGAGCTGTCAAGTTTCTGATATCTTGAAACTGCTACTGGCCTTGTACTTTTATAGCAGGCTTTGGAAAGAAAACAGATAAATTATAAATCTGTGTATAATTTAGGAATACACGCGCAGCCCACATGAATTGACTATGCATCACGCTTCATTAGACTTTTTGGCCAAAGCCTACAAAGATTATCAGGCCACAAAAGTCATCACGTCCCATATTCACGTTAATGGTTGCTTGAAGTATGGATTGTGATTACTGTCACTAATGTATTTGAGAGAGAGAGAGCGACAACAATATATGATAGTTGAGCTTTTTTTCACNAGCCTACAAAGATTATCAGGCCACAAAAGTCATCACGTCCCATATTCACGTTAATGGTTGCTTGGAGTATGGATTGTGATTACTGTCACTAATGTATTTGAGAGAGAGAAAGAGAGAGAGAGCGACAACAATATATGATAGTTGAGCTTTTTTTCACCTTCATGAGAGGGGGTCATGTAGCAGTTTAAGTCTCAATGTTTGGTTGAGATTCAGTTTTAATTTAACAAATATAATTAATTAAATTAACAAATTAAATAATTAAATTAATTTTAAATAATAATATTATTATATTTATTGCGATCGACATCAGAAAGGGGAGGGCGCGTAGAAGGGAATGCATTGGGCGGCGGTGGTATTTTTTGGAGTCGCAGGAGAGGGTACGTATGGGGCGGAAGATTCACCATGATCAAGTACGGATATCTCGGGAATGACCAAACCCAAAATTAAGAAAATAAGCCATCTCTCTCTCTCTCTCTCTCTCTCTCATATGGGTGGGGGTGCTGAAAACCCATGTGGATATCTTAAAGTTTCTGAAAGTCTGAATGTACTGCGAATCAAGCAATCAACTGTCTCTCTCTCTGTATTATGTGGATGTGTGTTTTAGTGTATAGAGACTAAAAATATGCAATATATTTAGAATCTGTTGGCTAGTTGGGGACTAGCTCTCAATGAAGTTTGGATTCTATTAACCGCCCAAAACTGTGGTCTGCAAAAAAGCTGGAACAAGGGAAGCTTTCGGTTTGCGAGTGCGTTAAGCCGTTGAAATTATAAAACCCCAAAAAAGTTTGTTTTAAGTAGGGTAGGATTAAAAACTACAAAAAAAAAAAAAAAACCTTTAGTTACGCACAGACACTGTTTTGTTGTGTTCTGTTGTACGTGTTAGTGCACCCTTATCTGTACCGTCTTCAACTTTTGCTTATATTACAGTGTTTGATTGGAGATTGTGGGGTGGGACGTAGACTCGCTGTACCTGATTATGACGAGAAGAGGTTGGCCGAGGACAATTGGAAGGAGAAGAGGTTGGAGAGTTCTGATAAGGATGATTCCTCACATGGCAGCCACAGAGCATATTATCATTGGCGTGAAAGATTGGAGGGCTTAAACTTTGATACCATGCAAAAAAAGACAATAGAAAATAAATAGTAATTGGACATTATTTTAGTGTGTTTAATCATATACATGAAGAACTTTATATATATTAAAAGAGATTAGTGAAATTTCCTAATCTCAATGATGTGAACAAACATATTAGCATTAACACTAATAATCCTTTCATACGGTACTGAGGTTGGTTTTGTCATCCTACAAAACTTAGGAATTTATTTGAGCAATGCAAAATTCTCGGAAAGTTGAGATTTTTAGTATTGATTAATTACTTTGCCATGAAAGTCTTAGATTTAGTCAAATTCTGTCATTTAGGCTTTTTATTTCATGTTTTTATCTTGATTTCAAAACATTCTAATTAGTTTCTTATAAGAATTTTGATTTTATTCTCTCATTTGTACTATTCCCAATGGATCCTAGTATTTTTAACTCGCTACGTACATGGTCAATACGAGCTATCAAATTGATTCACTTAAATCTTGACCTAATTGGTTATCATAAAATCTATATAATAAAGTATAAGACAATTTAAATTTAAAAGATAAATAAAATAATTTTTGTTCATTGCGGTTGAGATCGTTTTAAATTTTATTTTAAAGTTAATNCCTAATTGGTTATCATAAAATCTATATAATAAAGTATAAGACAATTTAAATTTAAAGATAAATAAAATAATTTTTGTTCATTGCGGTTGAGATCGTTTTAAATTTTATTTTAAAGTTAGTTTGATTACTAATATTAATTCTTCAAATTTAATAAGAAAAATAGACTCTCCTAAAAGTTTGTTTGGAGCCAATTCAAAAAAAATAAAAGTTTGTTTAGGGGTAACATTTCAAAAATATTTCTAGAATTTATGACTTATTATAATTATTTTTTTTTTAAAAATAGTGTTTGAAATCGTTCTATCACTCTATCCCTCACTCTCACCATTGCCACCAGTATCACCACCTCACCACCGCAGTTGCTACCACACCACCACCGTCACCTTACTATCATGTCTTTCATAACAATTGCCACCACCACCACTATCGTTGCTGTCACCCCACCACCACCGTCGTTACTACAACCATTCTACCACCACCTCATCACCATTGACCCACCACCTATTGTTATCACCGCCATCACCCATTATTATCATTATCTCATTTTTATATTTATTATTACTATCATTATCATTCCATCACCACCGTCTCTCACAGACACTACCCCTCCACCACCCACTATCACAACCCACCACTATTCGTCGTTGTCCACCATTGTCGCCACTTACTGTCACCCACTCCCACTCCCACCTATCACCGCTACCCGTCATCGCCCATCATCGTCACCACTCATTGTCACCCAAGCCCACCACACCTACCACCCATCCCCATCTTTGCCAACAAACTCTTGTCGTCGTCCACCATTACTTACACCCACCACCACAACCCATCACCGGTACCATTACTATTGTCAACTATTATTATCGTCACCCACCATCACCCACACCACCACTACTATTGTTGTTATCTATGGTTGTCACTGTCATAATTATCACCCAAATTTTTTTTACCACTATCACTATTGATATTCACGGCTGTTACTACCCCTACAGTTATCGTCGTTCGCCACAACCATCACCTTTTCTCACCACCATTGCCGCCTACCGCCTACCACCGCCAATACTTATTATAATCGGTGCTTAAATTATTTTTTCTTTCCTATATACTTGTGATTTAATTTTAAGTGTGACTACAAATATAGTTATGATTGATTATTTTTTTTTTGTAACATAATTCTTGCATTAAAGCTTGGTTGACACATGTAAACATCAACGTTTACTAATAAAATAATCATTTTGGCTTTAGTTGTGTGTCATTAAGCTAAGAACCGTCTTCTTAACCACCAAACCGATTTATATTTATTTTATTTGGTGAGAAACAGCTTGTTATGCATTTAAAATGCGACCAAACAAAGCCATATATTGTCTGCTTTGATGCTTCTAAAACTGATTAATTTATTTTCTTTTGATATATGTACGTAATTGGACGTACGGAGTCAAACACTTAAGCATCTTAATAAATAATAATTTATGGTNTATTTGGTGAGAAACAGCTTGTTATGCATTTAAAATGCGACCAAACAAAGCCATATATTGTCTGCTTTGATGCTTCTAAAACTGATTAATTTATTTTCTTTTGATATATGTACGTAATTAGACGTACGGAGTCAATGACTAAAAACTTTTTGCACCAACCCAAACACTTAAGCATCTTAATAAATAATAATTTATGGTTTTTAATTTTCATTTCTTCTACTCTAAAAGAGTAGGCTAAAACTAAAACTACCCATCATTAAGAAGAGTATAACAATCGATCATCATATCTAATTGAACTCTTGGATTTAAAATTTTACGGGGAAATGAGTTGAGTTCGTGAGTTGGAACCTCATCATCTCCTAAATAGTGAATGAGTAATTTTTACGAGGCTGGAAAAATAAAAGACGAAGCTTCAGTTTTCATTATGAAAATCACATTAATCAGCATAGCATGTATATTTGCTCAAGACATTGAACACTGTTTATAAATGCTTTGATCCTTAAATCATAACAAGTGGGGTTTTAGGTTCTATATTGGCATCTGGGGGATGCATCCTAACTCCAGTAACATGCATGTAAGTTCATGGGTCTTGTTGGCCCCCCCTCTTGACCATTGAATGAGGAGTTTCATTTTTTAATTCCTAATCCATTCTGTTCATGGTGAAGAATACCTTAGTTTAGGCGTAGATGATCTATCTTTAATCGGAGGAGAAAGAAAATTAATCAATACGTACGTAAACTAATTCAAACACCCCTAAAAATTTAATCTAGTTTGTTAGTTTAGTGTATGACAGTTGAAATGTCTTTTTTTGGGGGTTTTATCACCTTACATATCATTAAGTTAGTTTTTAAGGTTTAAGATGTATTGATGAGATAATAAGACTTGGAATCTGATTGGGTAGTTGTTCAATGAGGAATATATAAAAATGATTAGGAGGAGGAACATTTTGGGTGTTTACAGTGGAATTTTAAAGAAAGGGAGAGATGGGGCATCCCTGCACATGGGTCTTGGTCACATATGGAGACTACAATAATATATATTACCTTAATTTTTTTTTTTTATCAATGGGGGAAGCAATGGAATCTTTGCATAGGTCCAATCCAACTACATCTGGAGATTTTTGGTTTGGGGGGGAGCTGATTAAACCTTTTTGTAACCCTGCATGTGGTGGGTTTGGACTCGAGGCATTCTACTTTGTGCTCTAGAAGCATCCCATAATATATGTCACCACTATGCCTGCTGCTGTCTTTCCTTCCAATTCTTCTGTAGATAAATGAGGCACAAAGATTTGCGTCATTCAACACATTGTGCTTGCATTCACGAATATTTTACTTTTACCGTAAATGATCTGATTTTAATTGAATTGAAAAGAAAAGAAAATTAATCAAAATATGTTCTAATTAAATAAATAAATTAAGGCAGGTATTAATTGATACAATCTTGTAATTATGTTGAATATGAAGGGTTCTTACTTATTCCAACCCTTATATGTAACTCTCCGCCTCTCCCCCACCATCCAAACTGAACCCCTCTCCGTTATTTTGTTCTTCGGCAGCACTTACCTCAACACAGTCGAAAACATTCAAACACTTGTAAGTTCTAACAGCACACACATTCAACCATAAAATCGAAAACTTTTCTAGGTTTCTTTCCTAAAATGATTGTGTGACGAGTTTTCAAGAAAGATCGTAACAGAGATCTGGTGGGAATATTTATCTTCTTTCCTTTTCATCTGCATAAAATTTTCTTTCACTTTCTCGAGAAAATGCCAGCATGCAGCAAAATCCGCCACATTGTGAGACTCCGCCAGATGTTGCGGTGGTGGCTCAAGAAAGCGGCGATGACTTCCCGCCTTATTCCCTCAGACGTACCCGCCGGACACGTGGCGGTCAATGTGGGCACCAATCGCAGAAGATTCGTGGTTCGCGCGACGTACCTGAACCATCCCGTGTTCAAAAAACTACTGGTCGAGGCCGAAGAAGAGTATGGGTTCGCCAACACGGGCCCATTATTCATCCCATGCGACGAGTCACTCTTCGAAGAGATCCTCTGTTTCTTGTCCCGGTCCGAGTCGAATAACTCGACTCGGTTCATGAATCTTGAAGACTTTCAGAGACAGTGCCACGTGGGATTGAAAAGCAACCTTGAGTTCTGGCCTGAGTCTCGACCTCTTCTTCTTCATGGGTTTAGCGTCAAATCCACTGGGTAAGCGATGGATATACAAGGAAGAATATACTGACCCGGTTTGACTCGTCTGAGTTATTTCTCCTTCACAGAGAAGAAAGTGAGTTGAGCCATTGACTCATTCACCTAAGCTATCTGAGTTGGGTGTACTAATTCATGGATACTTCAGTTTATTTTCGCTCCCACTTTTTATCTATATAATAAAATACAATATAATTTAAATATAAAAAATAAATAGAATTACTTTTATTATTTTGCTGTCTAAATCCTTTTAAATTGTTGGACAAAATTTAATTTACTCCCTTGTAATTTGGGTGTTTTGCACATAACTCCCTTATAATTTAGAAATTAACACATTACCTTTTTATATTTTTGGACCGATATGCACAATTAAGACCGTAAACAAAAGTGATAAAATGATTTTAGTATCCTCAATTATTTATCATCTTCTTCCTCTTTTTCCATTGTTGCTTAATTTTTTTGACAAATCAACCAATCACTCAATTTTATAAGTTTTTTTCTCTCTCCACAAAGCACAAAACAGTCTCAAATTAATGTTAATATCTTCCGCTCTAAATCTAGTTTCAAACCCAATAGACTTATTTCCTTAAATAGCCCCATGACCCACGAATTTAAGTTCAAAGGTGATTACAATCTCATTTTAACAGGGTTATGTACATACCAAATTTTTTTTCAACATTTGGGCTAATTTTGACTCTTAATTACTCCTCTATTTCTCAATTTTTTTGCGTGATTCAAATGCTTAAATTTAACTTTTTTTTTATCCTCTTTTTAACCATGTATTTAGTTTGTCCACATCATACACATGATAAGTAGAAATCGAGCTTCAAAGTGATAGGTTCATCATTCTCAAAAATTGTTATGATTTTTAATTCAAATTTTATCCATCAAACCTCAATTCTTTCACAATTCTAACTTCAACAATAAATTTCTTGACCCTAAAAATGGTGGATTAGGCCTTCATTCACTTCGGAAATTTGAAATTTTGAATACTCAAAAATTTAATTTTAAGTTTAAATAAGGGTNCTAACTTCAACAATAAATTTCTTGACCCTAAAAATGGTGAATTAGGCCTTCATTCACTTCCGAAATTTGAAATTTTGAATACTCAAAAATTTAATTTTTAAGTTTAAATAAGATTTTTGATTTTCTCTCACTCTACACCACGGCCACTAAAGAAACCTTAAGAAATTGTTATTGAATATGAAAATAAGCTTATCCTATCATAGAATTATGGATGATGCCTTGTAACAAAAGTTATCTTTGCAATTAACAACTCAACAATCATCTCAAAACCTATTTGAAAACTATTTGTAATTTTGCATTTGAAACATCCGATAGAAATTCATATCCAATANTCATCTCAAAATCCATTTGAAAACTATTTGTAATTTTGCATTTGAAACATCCGATAGAAACTCATATCCAACATTGAGTGTGAATATATGAAAATTAAATGGTGAATATGTTTTAAGAGGTTATTGAGGTAGTCAACGTATTTGGAAAAAACGTCTTTCATGGAAGAGGACTAAGTGGTTATTGGTCACTGTTCTTGACTTTTTTACTGCGCTTTGTAAGATTGACTCAGAGAAAGAGAGAGAGAGATTACATTGACGGAGACGTTGGGGTTTGGAAGCCATGAGGATGAGCTTGTGGAAGACCGAGGAGTATAACATCTGTTAACATAGGGTCATTTTTGACATTTGGGTATATTTATTTTGCAGGGAAGCTGATAACTTTGTTGATCAATCGTCAAACTAGCACGTCCTCTCCACTTTTGTCTATTCTGACGAAAAACTTAACAGTTGCAGTTTAGTCTATAACCACAAGGGCGTGATATGCTTATTTCCAAATGATAGGGGGATTATCTGCTCAAGGCACAAACTATGAGAGGATAAATTAGAATTTGCCCTAAATTTTATTTTAAAATTAATCTGATAACTAATATTAACTCTTAAAATTTAATAAAAAAAAATAGGCTCTCTAAAAGTGTTTTTAGAATGACTTTTTAAAAGCGTTTTTCATAATCACCTAAAAAAATGATGTTTGAAATCGTTTCGTCACCACCATCACCCCCTTATTGCCCCACCATCGTTGCCACCATCTTACCATCACCATCACCATCACTGTTGCCGCCACCACCACTGTTGACCCATCCTACCACCACTGCACCATTATCGTCGTCATCTTACCACCATCACTACTATCGTTGTCACCCTACTACCATCTCTCCTACAACTATCATCGTTGTTGCCCACTGTTATCACCTATCACCATTCGTTGCCCATCACCACCCACCACTGTCGTTACCCTACCACCATCGTCGTTACCCACCATCATCGTCATCTCACCACCATCACTATTGCTACCCACTATTGTCTTCACTATAATGGTTGCCATCATTCATCACAATCATCACAGTCTCCTATCATCCCGACTGCCTCTCATCACCACCATTACTGCTCGTCCCTATTATAATTGGTGTTTAAATTTTTTTATCTCTTCTCTATCTTTGTAATTTGATTTTGGATATGGATACAAATATGTTTATTGTTGACAATTTTTTTATTACTCTGTATTTTCAGCACGATAAATAACTAGTTTGTTTATATTTTAGGGTTAATTGCACTAAAGATTCTCAAAGTATAAAGTTTGTGTCATTTTAGTTCTTAATATTTTAATTGCATATCATTTTGATCCCTAAAGTATTGAATATTTTTTGATATAGTCTTTCAAGTAGACAACGTCTAAATTGTTAACAATTTCTTATCATAAACTTATCACGTAATACTTAAATATGGTCAAAAAAATAATTTTGATAACTCTTACATAAAATTTGGGTAACTCATGATTAAAATTGTGTAATTTGGATAAATATTTTGAGTAAAAATATAATCAAGAATTATTTAAATAATTTTTTTTTGTCTATATTTAAGGATCATGTGACAAATTTATGATAATAAATTGTAAGTAATTTGAACGCTGTCTGCTTAAGGGATTATATAAAAACATATTCAATACTTCAGAGACCAAAATGATGTAATTAAATAATTGAGAACCAAAATAAGACAAATCTCATACTTTGGAAATCTCCTGTGCAATTAACCCTATATTTTATTATGTAATGAGATGGGTAAATTGATGGCGTGGTGGTGAGTACTAAATATGGTGAGCTAAGTTGCGAATAGGGTATTAGTTCAGAGAATGTGAAGGAGATGGCAAGTAGGTGGCTGAGTTAGCACCAAGTCATCCTGGGTTCAAATCTAAGTGGAGTGGAGTCCACAACTAGAAGATATTGAAGTATTGCAAATTGCAAAGGAGGAATAAGAAAAGAAGTGGCTTCTGTAAATTTTTTTCTCTTTTTTCGATTGATTAATGGAAATTGTAAAGAAATTCAAGCAAGATTGTCCATTTTTTCCGAAACAATTATAATTCATTGTATTTTATTATACCGTTAATTATTGTAATGTGGTGGCCAAGTGGGAGTTGACATGGCAACAATCCATGTGAAATCTAAGGCTCCCGTATTATGGTTATGCTCTCTCTCTCTCTCTCTCTCTCTCTCGTGGTTACGTTTTTTTTTATCTGTTCTCTCTCCCTTTGTAACTCTTCATGGAACCAAAGTCCTTAAACAAAATTCAATAGAGCTAAGAGGATTGATACTTTTCAAATGTAAGACTTATTTTTCATGTCTATCATTGTTGGTTCTATACATATGTGTCCTCTCAATTGAAGTTTTATTGTGCTATTTTTTGTATTTCTCTTTACTCCATTATGTGTTCCTAGTGATTTCTCACTTATAATCAATGCATTGTTAGAAGTTTTGTTACTAAGTTTACATTGTAAAGATAATGAAGAATTATCTAATACAGAAGATTAGAGATATAAAAGAAAAACGAGAATCAAAATAACAAATATTGAAACATCGATGGAAGCACTTTAGGGTTGAAAATAATGCTACCTTTCTTCAATTCCTAAGGGATTCGATGATGTCGAAGACATACAAAGCCTGGTCAGAGTAGGNGGAAGCACTTTAGGGTTGAAAATAATGCTACCTTTCTCCAATTCCTAAGGGATTCGATGATGTCGAAGACATACAAAGCCTGGTCAGACTGAGTCTGGGCTTTGTACGAATTTATGAAATCTGGCTTATTGAAAAGAAACATACAAGACAACCTATACACTCTAAAGCCGGCCTTAGTTGTTACAAAACATAACATCCTCAATGTTCTGGCTATGGCTTTCGCATGATTTGGAGATTACACAACTAAGTCCAACGATTTGGAGTTAGTTTTGGGTGAGCTGTAGATATAGGAGGTTTTGAATATAGTTTTCGTTGATAATTCTCGAATTTAGTTGATATCTATGATTAGCACGATAATTGTTGCTCATCATCAATATGGTTATGACGTAAGACGACAAGGGGTATGAGTGACTTGCATTTGATTGGACTAAAAAGGAGATTAATTAAAGTGCACTTAAATTGGTCTGAACACTCCCAAACATTGAAAAAAAAGACTACGAGGGGCATATTTTGGTGTGGATGACTAGCTTGTAGCAAAGGATAACGCAAAAAACAGAGGACATTTGACTTGGACCGTAAGTCCAAAATGCATGGAAGTCAATCAATTTTTCCTAGTGTTACCATGAGATATCAATGATGTTGAAATCTTTAGTGAAATAATTGAGAAAAAAATTCAATGTCGTTTTGCAAAATGAAGATTTAGACGCCTGTCAACAATAGGACATTTTATCATAAATTATACAAGTTTTAGAGATGAAATTATAATAATTAGTAGTTAAGAGGCAAAAATCAAACAAAAAACATATTTTGAGACCAATACTCTCTCTCTCTCTCTCTCTCTCTATTTGTATCTGCTAGCCCATAAAGTGTTCTTTGGGCTTTTTGAGACCAATACTCTCAATATTTTTATCTTGAATATCAATCATGGTGAGTGGGCTTAAGATTTTATCAAGCTGCTAGCCCATAAAGTATTTATTGAG